ACAAAATCTTACTGAGGGACAGAGTGAATTGAAATACCTTTAAGAAAATAGATACAATAAAATGCAATGCCATTTGCTAAGGTTATTTCATACTTTTCATACAATTCAAGTGAAAATCACAAGAACATTTTGAACAAAAAATAGTTATTTAAAATGCATATGGTAGGAAAAAAAGATCTACTAAAGACAAGGTAGATTTTCGCCCAAGCTTAGAAGTGAGTAAGGACTGGTTTTCCAGATGTTAAAACTAATTAAAATACATAATGTAGTTCTAGTGTAGGAACAGACAGAAATGCATTTTATCAGAATAGAAAACCCACAATGGGCCCACGTCTCTGAAAGTTTAACTTTTCAAGTTGGTAGTAAAAGGTTTTTCAGCAAATGGTATTGAAAAAACTTGCTAAGTACTTCAAGAAAAAAAAAGTCTTATCTTGGCTTTATACCATACACCAGAATAAATTCTAGAAGAGATAATGATCTAAATGTTAACAAAAATTACAGAAAACACTTTAAGTAAAAGTAGTCATAAAAAGCACAATAGCGGTCCAATCACAATTATGAATACTGAAGCTTAATTTCTGAATAAAATATACAACATACTAGAATTCAGCATGATATTAAAATAACATATTACAAGCAAGTGTAATCAGACATGCAGGAATGATTCAATATTTAAAAATCTTCTTAATGCATTTCACTGTATTAGTAGATTAAAGAAAAAGTATAATCATCTCAATAGATGCCAAAAATGCATTTGATTAAATTTAATATCTATTCCTGATTTCTTTTAAAGAGTTGGACTTCCTTGACGTGATCTCATTTCCAATGATGAAACACTTGAAGTATTCAATTAAGATCAGGAAAAGATATCCAGGGAGTTTTCAGGGAATCATATGTAGTAGCTAACACTAAAATAATTAATTCTAGTAGTACTTAAATAACATATCCTTTATTATGCTAAGGAAAAAAACCTAAAAAAAGGCGTTACAATTTGTCAATTGCTTTGCAACCTGATGAAGCTAAGAAATCTTGGAAGAACAACATGATGTAATGCAAAGCACATGAGTTGGACCAAATCCAGAATCCGGAATCATAATACTAGTTCTGTCATTTTTATTATTTAACCTTAGCAAGTTATCTAAATTCTCTGAATTTCAATGCTGTTATCTGTAGAATTAAAGTAATAGAAGGTGAGATGGGCTAAACTTGCCCCTGGCTACTTCTTGCTAGTTATAACAAAACTTTGGACAATATAAAAAAGCAAACATATGAGTAAACAAAGCAGGTGAATTGAGAAAGGTAGTTAAAACCTGGAAAATAACCCACACAAAGATGAATTTCAAATTTTCCTATTTTCTCTCATATCTTACACCTGAGGGTGGGTCCCAGTACATGGCAGTGGCCTGGGATGTTACCTAAAAAACCCAGAAAGACCCCACATCTTAGCACCCCTATCCACTGTGGTTCAAAGAGTATGGAGGGAATTTCCATTTTTATTTCTTTTTTATTATTCCTGGCTTTGCCCCAAGGGTGGCCTCAGTAGAGAACTGCATGCAGCAATGTGGTGGCCCGGAATCCAAGAGAAACCCCACTTTCTTGCTAGAGGACTTGGAAAGGGGGGCCTCAGTGGGAAAGATAGTATTGAGGAATCTTGGAGAGGAGATAGCTGGAAGGAGATCCCTCTAATTTTGTGTATGAAGCTGTAGAAGTCCCCGGTTCATCTCTGAGCTGCACATGTGTAAGGTAGACCCAATGCAGCTTAGCAAAGCCTTTGAAAATGGAATCAAAATAAAAACCACCACCCACAGAAGAAGAAATAGAACCTGTGGTCTGAACCTAGCCAAGGTGATTTCTTACTAAAGCAAACAAAGAAAAAAAAAAATCAACATTCTTCAGAGAATTTGAATATCACTCAAAGTCTAAAAAATTACTTGACATACGAAGCACCTAGAATATGTGACAAATTCTTAAGGGAGAAGACAAGTAAGATACCAACTCTGAGATGTTGGAATTATCAAAGAATTTAAAGCATTTATAATAACTGCGTTGCATGAAGTAAAAGTAAACACACTTGAAATAAATGGAAAGAGAAGAGTTCTCAGCAGAGAAATAAAAAATTTAAAAAGAACCAAATAGATACTTTAGAACTGAAAAACACAGTATCTGCAGTAAAAAATTAAATGGGTGATCTCAACAGCAGAATGAAGATGATGGAGGAGTCGGTGTATATGAATTTTGACCAATAGAAATGATGTAATCTGAAGAACAGAAGAAAGACTGAAAAAGAACTAAAAACGGACATGTGGAATAATATCAAGAAAACTTAACATTTGTGCCACTGGAGTCCCAGGAGAGGAGAAAATGACTAGTGTTGAAAAATATTTGAAAAACAATGGCTGTAAATCCCCCAAATTTGACAAACGACATAAATTTATAGATTCAAGAAGCTCAGAAAAGCCAAAATAGGATTAACTCAAAGAAAACCATGCCCAGACATGTCATAATCAAACTGCTGAGAATTAAAGATAAAGAAAAAAAAACTTGAAAGTAGTTAGTGAAAAATGGCATATTACATATAAAGCAATGAAGCAAATGACGACAGAGACCCTATTGGAAATTGAAGTAATAACGGTTATATAGGAATAGATAAGAAACAATACGTAAAGTGCTTATTAGCAGATAAAAGACACAAATGATAGGTATTATTATTCTAATAGTAAATCTACATCTCAGCATACCATGTTTATTTTCCATTCTATTCAATCTTCCTATGGTTTACCCCTATGTGAATTTGATACCAAGAATTGGATGCAAATATACCTTTGATATTATTTCTTTTGATTATCCAAAATCTTTTGCTCTTCTTGAAATGAGAGTCTCTGTCAATTCATGTCTTGTTTTTAAACGAGTTTTTTAAACTCTGAGTTCTCTCAATTATTATGTAAGTATAATAATGCATCTTTTATTTTCTTATAGAGATATTGTGAAGATCAACTGAGATACAGAGAAAAATATACAAATTCCTGTGACAACTAAAACAGTTGAAGTCATATATTTCAGAAACAGTACCGGCTTGGAAGTTCTGAAAGCCTAAATCTTTTAGCCAATCTCATGAGAAAGTATTTTAGACAGATGGCTTGCCCACATTTTTTCATAGGCTGATAAGGTTAGGGATGTGTTAGTGAAACACGTCATGCTTTGTCAGCTGACCCATAGATTAGACTAAGCAGTCACCACATGAAACTCATATAGCCTTTAGCAAGGCATTTCTGGCTGTTGTTTAATGCATATTCAGCCCTTAAATATTAAATGTTGCTTCTAGGAAACTAGAGATCTAACCTGCCTTCTCATTGGCACGGAAAACTAGTAGTGAAGTAAAGGAACAAAAAATTAGATTTGAAGTAAGATTCAGATGAACTACCATAACTAAAATGGGTCTGAAAGCCTAGGCATTGTAATTGTTTGCAAATCCGTGACCCACCTCTGCCCTCCCCAACTTCTAAGAGGCTGAGAGCAGCAGAACACAACATATGTGTGAACTTGGTCTCTTGGCCAAACTCAGGCACGGAGTGAATGGAGTTGGCATGAAGTAGCACCAGGCAGTCTCGAGTTGTAGGAAGGTGTGAAGAATGCGTGAGAGGAGAGTTTTCTCTGAATAAAAGACACCTCCACATAAAGGATGTCATCATACAAAGGCTGAGAGATTGGGAGTCTGGAATATAGCCCATAGGCTAGAGGCGAGTTTCTCAGAGGTTCTTAAAATCCTTGGCCAATATTGAAGGAAAGTACACCGGTTTCTTGGGCTCTATAATTCTTTGTTTAATTTTAACATAAGGCAGAAAAATAGAGTGAAAAAATGCAGAGCCTGCATCTAGTGTGAGTTACCCTTATGAACATGATATGGCCTCCGTTTCTCCTTCTGTTAATAAGGAATAAGAAACTCCTATTTTTAAAATGGGGTTTCTCTACATCTCATGCATGCGTGCATATTGTAGATATTGCTGAAAGAGAAACAGGATTTGAAAACTTCTATATAGCATGGTGTATTCTTTTTGTTACAGAAGGGAAACAAAGACATGGAGCAAAATGGGGACTAGCTCAGATTTGCTGTCAATGCAAAATCCAGAATACCTTACTCCGTCCTGTTAGTCCTGCTCTCAGTTATAGAAGAACGTTATGGAATAAAGTCTTCCTGCCCACCCATACTTGTTCTCCCTCTTTTCCTTTTTCCAGCATGTACACACGTAAGTCTGCTGACAGTCCCACATGTGTCCCCCCACGGTGCTTCTATCCTGTGGATCATGACACTTTTTAAAAAGTAGGCAAACGAACAAATAATAGAAAGTAGATGAAGTGTCATTAACTCAGGAAAACTGTCATCTCCACTCCCAATATATCATCCTAACTATGAATAAATTGACACGTCTCCTTTATTGTTAGTTTTAATCTGCAAGTGGTAAAATCCAAAATAATATTTTGTTATCTAGGTCTAACTAATCTTTTTCTGTCAACATGTTTCCACACCTGATTTAAATTTCCTTTTATTTTGTGGTACCATAAACTCTTCCTTTCTATCTCCTGATTTAGTAATTATATATGATACTATTTCATATTCTTCTTTCACAGTCTGCTTATTATATTTCTGAAACCTTAATCCACAAAACAAATCTAATTTAAATAAACGAAAATATAGTCCCCTAAGAATTTGGTTTGTTAACATTTTGCTCCAAGTTAGCAGATCGAGTCATCAGTTAAATGTAAGATTTACCTTAACGTGATTTAGTCATTTATAATATTTCACCAACATCAGGAAATTCTATCAAAGTCATCACAGAGTAAACTAGCAGATGGGTCAATGTGCAAAGTTCAAGGCTTAAGTAAAAAGAGAGAACCATTGGATTAAAAAGTCCGATAAGTCAAGGTTGGCACTAGAGCAGAAATATGAGAACTACTAAAGAAAAGATGGGCATTTTAATTACAGAGATGGGGAGCATCCTTACCTGTCTTCTGTTAGCTTCATTAGGGTTGTTCCTCGAGTAGAGAAGACAATAAAAGACATTCTTAGCTGTGGGCTGGAAAGGAAAATAAATTCTATTAAGGCAGGTAGAAAGACTATGCAATGTCATTCCCTTCCAGGCTTCTTTCCTGTTCTTCCCTTTATATCACAGCTGCCAGAGCTGAGGACATAAAACCCAAGGGGGCCTCCACAGCTGGTGTTGCAAGCATTTAGCCAGCAGCAGACTTGAAACTATGGACCAAAGAGAAGACCGGTGTTGTCTGCCTGGAGGTTGCTTTTGATTTGACACCACCGCTCAGCGAGTGTGGATTATGAGTAAGGAAACTAGAATTCATCACTGCCCTGTGCGTTGTCTGAAGAAGTGTGTCCCTAGAAGAGGACTGGTCTGCATGGTGTCTAGAAAAACAGAGATCTCGATAGATAAAATTTGATAGTGCCTCCACAGTGGCCTTCTTACAAGGAAGGGAGTGTCTCAGGCTATTGTGGCTTGATGCCATCAGTCATCAAGATCATTCATCGAACTCCTTTTGCTCACCATCAACTTTAAATTTCTAGTTGGCATCCTAAGGAAATTATCTTAAAAGGAGACAATGTGCTGATGAGCCACAAGAATATCTATTCTACTCGGTAGTTATACTTCTCATTATCGATGAATGCATTGGCATGATTTTGATATGGTAGTGCTCGGTGCTTTGTCAATGTAAAATCCACACTCTGGGAGACAGAAAAAGTCTCAGCTGAGGACCAAACATGTTTCTTTGTCTGCAAGATGGGCTGTCAGGCTGAAGTGGATTCACCAGTAATGCCATTCTGTAGGGCTCTCTCTAGGTGGCCAAATGGTTCATCCATCGTAGCACCAATCTATTTCTTCACAGTGCAATAACCTCCCAAACCTGATCCTGCCCCAGCTCTCATAGCTCCCACTTCCTAAAATGTTTCTCAAATCTCTCCCTCTTTTCCATCTTTTGGCTTAGGAACTTGCCCTCAATTATCTGACCACTGCAATTATTTCCTAGCTGATGACTTTGCCTATCAAAATTCCTTGTTCCATTGCATCCAGAATTATTTTCTTAAAATATAAATCAGATCTGGTCACTTATCTGCAATAAAACCTTTAATGACTTCTATTGCCTATAGAATAAAGTCTACATTGTTCATTGTCATACGTTTGATGCATCTTTGGAAATCCTTAGCATGGTGTTTAATATTTGGCAGAAGCCCAAGTAATATCCGGTGCATTGGGTATTGGTCTCTTGAAACAGACCTGGGTTCTTGGTCCATGACACAAACCATGCTGCCTGATATTATTACCTCACTAGTGCTGGGCCCACAGGACATCATGTCCTAAGTGACAGTAATAATGATCACACTATGGCCAAACTTATCAAATGCTTATTATGTGCCAGGTACTATTGTGATTTGCATGTATTATCTCACTAAAATTAGAATAACTTTATGAGATCAGTACTATTATTATTTCTATTTTCCACAAAAAGAGAAGTGAGATCCTGAAAGATAAAGCAATTTCCCAAGGTCACGCAGTGGGACCTGGAGCTTAAACCCAAACATTCTGAGTCTAGAACTTGGGTTCTTTAACCACTTCACTATGCTGCCTCCCTTACCTAGAGTTCAACTCTGGAAAGAATGAATTGAAAATGTGGGATATGTAGGTCTCCAAGAGGCAATTGGTATATGAGTTTGGGCTAGAGACATAATTTGGGATTTCTCAATATACTGATGTAAGTTAAATTGTTCAAAGAAAGTGTCAGCAGTGAGATGGAATGTGAGATAAATCTAGAGCCAACACCAACATTTGAAGGCCTGGTTCCAGTCAGTGAGATGAAAAGAGAACCAGAAGCCAGTGGAAGAGAGAATTTCAAGAAGAAAAAAATCTGAATCCAATGAATCTCCGCTCTCCAGCAGAATAAGCACTGTAAGGAGCTCACTGAATTTGTCCTCTAGGGCATCAACTAATAACTTCGGTGAGAGCAAGTAGGTACAGGGTGGGGTTGGCAGTAGGTTAAGGATGTGGAGACAGAAAGTCTTTAAAGATATTTGAGTGAGAAGCCAGTAAAGAAATAGAATAGTAGCGATAAGAAGACATGATCAGAAGGACCTTTGTTTTTTTGTTTGTTCTGTTTTTTAGACAAAGGGCAGAAGAGATTAGTTTATGTCTATAGAAAATGGAAATTGAGCCACAGGGAAAGGTAGAGAAAATACAGAAAGAAACAAAGACCTGGAGGAGATTAGAGATGATGGGATAAAATGGACTAAAATGAAGGAATTAACTTCAAACAGGAGGGAAATTTGAATCTCAAAGATGATGGAAAGGGTACATGTGCATCTTTTAAGAGTAGGAATGGGACTTGTGGTAATTAGGTTTGGAACTCAAGGTAATTGTTTTTCTGCTAGTCTCTGGGTTCTTGGTGAAACAGAAGGTGAGGTAGGTTTCTTTAGTGATAGTGATGGGTGTGAGGTGTAGGTTGGGAGCTTGAAAAAAGTGGTGAAGAGTTAGAATCATTATTAGGAAAATGGGGGAGGGTCAGAATAAAGACAAATAAAAGGACTTGAAATTTCAAAGATCCCACTGAAATTAGAAATGATATGTTTGTACTAGTATCAGCTACCGTCGTTGAAATGCTCCTCCCCACCACAATATCAGCTGCCTAAACTATATATTAAAATGGGTAAATAAAAACCATTCCTTTGCAAAATTCATTAATGTATTCAAAATTATTGATTGAGCATGTACTATATGTCAGGCATGGTAACAGGGACTTAGGCTGCAGCTGGCGATAAAATACAGCTCCCCTTTCTTAGAGTTTGATTGATGATAATGCCTTTGTGCCACATTTTGAGGGGATCCATAGCCAGGGAGGGTCAGAGGGGACAACCAGAGGAAAGTGCCTTGTGGTCTGAGTTAAGCCATGTCAATTACTCTGGTCCTCAGTTTCTTCATCTATAAAATGAGTGGATTGGATTAAGTGGTCTCATAGCTCCCCTAAGCCCTCTCTCTAACTTTTTCGGATTCTAAGATAGTGAAATACATGGAATTGCCGAAGGAATTGAGAAAGAGAAGTGTTGAGTGCCCACTCTAAATCAGGTGTTGGGCTAGCTGGTTTGTACATGTTTTCTCTCATAATTTTTACATGCAAACTAGGGTTCAACCAAGGTAAGTTAACCATTATGGTTGCACAAGGGAGCTTAGATTCAAATCCACATCTGCCTGACTTCAAAGCCTTTTCCAGTGGACTCCTCTGCTTTAAGAGGAACAGAAGATTAGAAGAGCAGAGACACAACAGATACTGTCAAGTATCTGGAGGCAGATTTGTTTTATATCATTCCAAAGGACTAATGGATAAGAGTGTAGGAAAGGATATTTTGGCTCAATGACAAAACAACTTTTCTGGAAACTGGAATTGTCCAACTATCGGACTGCTTGCCTCAAAAGGCAACAGTTTCTTACCAGAGGTTTTTAAGCCGAGGGTTAGTGAATACTTCCTAGGATAGGTTTGTAAGTTTTTTCTTTTAATTCTAAGCTTCTACAATTCTCTGAAATGTTTTGCTTTTAATACCACCCATGTATTTGCTTCTTTCCTCTCCCTCTACTTTCCACTTGCTCAACCTCCACCTCTCTCCTCTCAGCATCTGTTTTTCTCATTCATCGGGGTTTAGATACTTCTTGCAGCAGCTTCCAATTTTTGTTATCACACAGAGGGCACCTCTCTCCAATCAGGCAGGCAGGTATGTGTTGAGACCCGTAACTGAATTTGGAGGGAACACATTTGCATCACCCTGGTCTCACAGGAGAACCTGTCTTTGTAGACAAAGAACTTTATTCAATGAAGTTTTTGGTTACTCATATTGACTGGAAGACTCTACAGAGGCCATCAGCAAGAGTGGAGCTGCTTTAGAATTTATAATAATCAGAACAATTTTACCAAAGACTTTGACAGCTGGCTTCAAGGACCTCCATGAAAGCTATCACAGCTGTTTATCCCTTGAGGCTGCACCCAAGGAGGGTGAAATGACCTTTCCTTTACGAGTAGGTAAGCAGGATCTGTAAGGTCCCTGTGATGTTTATAGTGACGATGTTCAAAACTGCATTGCCCTCTCTTGGAAAGTGGTGTTGAGAATGCTCAGAGAATTCTACTTGACAGAGCACATAGGTAGGCTGACCGACTGTCGTAGTCTATCCAGAACCGAGGAGAGTTCCCAGAATGTGAGACTTTCTGTGCTAAAATTGGGAAAGTTCTAGACAAACTGGGATGAATTTGTCATCTCACACCCTACATTCTCTACACACAAATCCAGCTAGAATATGCCAATTGCCCCAGCATGATACACTGTGAAAAAAAAAGTTAATGATCCTCCTAGAAGAATTTATTATTCAACAAGAGAGAGAAAAAGTTAAAATTTTGTTCTTATAACTAAAACTGGGGTCCTCTTGGAAAGACGAAGCCAAAAGTCGTTAGTAATTAGTAGAATAGAAAACATAGGCTGGTTTTTCTCATGGCAGGGAACTACGCATTGGATTTCTTACCTGATGAATTTATGAGCCAACTGTTCCACAAAGTAATAGATTTCATTCCAGTGGTGGAGCACACTTCCTGATCTGGGAGGGGGGAAAGCAGACGTTACTTAATCAGGTGTTCGTTTGTCTTTACCTTGTATCATTTCTCTTCATATTCTATTAATTGATATTTGACCGATCCATTAATTGAGCTCATTATCTGAAACTGTTATATTTTGGAAACTATTTGAAAAGACGTTTAGACTTAATGTTAGAGTTCTTTAAATTTTTGTTAAAGGACTCCCTTCAGTGCACCTCCCATTCCTTCCCACCCCTACTTCAGCAATCATACACTGAAAATCTTTAAGAAAGTTATTTTTTGTATTATTTAAATTATTCCTTTGATAAGGGAAGAAAAACGATTCCAATTAATTTAAGTGAAATTAGCGCAAACTAGAAACCAAACAGAAAATGATAAACAACACCTCCCCCCGCCCCAAAAGTCTAATTTCATTTCTAAACAGAGGCAAAATCTCTAAATAAAATATTAGCAAATGAATCTAGTAGGAATCCAGAAAAATAACAATTAATTAAATAATTGGTGGAGTTTATTTCAGGAGTGTATCGATAGTTCAACATTTGACATCCAGTGTAACTAGTCATTCTAATAAATAACAGAAAAAAACTACACAGCTTTTTATTATATTAAAAAGGAAACCTCTTACTGAAAAAGAGGGTTACTTTCTCTAGGACATATGTAATAACAGAACTTAGATTTGTAAGGGGGCATTTTTATTTCCCAAGGTTGACTTCTATTCTACTGATACCATTTCTACAGCTTCAATTCAACTTTTAAATATTTCCATAGTGCTTGTACTCATTCTGTTGTAGTGACAACATAGTAGGTTTTTCTATTATAACCAGCTCTTTTCTGTAGCTATGATGCCTCTTTCTTTTCATTTAAGGATCTGTTTCAGCTGAGCTCTGCATTTCTGTCATTCTAATAATTGTTGAGCTTACAGTTCGCCCCTTCTGGTCTGCTTATTGTACTGCAAACATTTTCCACCGGTTTCAGATTACTTTTATTTTTTATGCACTCATTTATCTTAATTTTAAATTCTAGAGAGTATTGGTTGTTATTTTTCGTTATTTCAGACTATTTTATAGATATTTAAGATGAATCTGTGCAAAGTAGATTTTATGCCATCCTTTTCACAGTACAACATCCCTGAGAATTCTCATTCTGGTTAAGTGTGTTCCATCTGTATGGGGAGATTTAGTTCTCTCTGTCTCGTACCCACACGGATATATCTGTCTAACTTGAACACAAATGATGCAATGTGTTATGCTCATACAGTAAAAGACTCCATATCCTAAGGATATCTCACTTTTCCCAAGTTAATCTTAACATCAATTCCAGGAAAAATTCTGAAAAGATGTTTTGTGAAACTCAAAAACTGACTTTAAGAATGAAATGAAGATTAAAGGTCTAAAAGTCATCAAGGCAATTATGAAAAAGAACAGCAAAGTTGAAAAGTTTGCCCTACCAGATGTAATGACCTCAAGTGCATGATATGGGATATAACAATAGAGCCAATGGCACAGAACAGAGAACCCAGATATCAACCTATACAGCAAAAGAGGTAATTCAAACTAGGGAAGGAGAATAAACTTTTCAATCAATAATTCTGTGACAATGAATTTCTAATTGGAAAAAAACAATTAGATCATGATCTCCTAGCAAATGTAACATTAGATATATTAAAACCTAATGGGAAAAACAAAACTTAAAATCTACTGAGTGAATTATAGAAGATTTTTATGTCATCAGGTTAGTGGAGGGTTTCCTTAACCAGATACAAAAAGTAGGATTTTTTTTTCTTTTTAGAAAAAGATAATTTTGACTGCCTGAAGTGTCTAAAATTCTGAATGACAAAAAGATACCATAAATAAGTTCAAAGATAAGAAAGAGTGGGAGATTTGTCTACAACAAATATAAAAGGAAAAAGACTAATATCTAGGATATATAAATAATTGGTGCAAGTAAATATTAAAAAGGCAAACACTAGAAAATAAATAAAAGATCAGAATAAGCAATCTCCTGAAGGATGGCAAATCAACATTTAAAAAATCATTCAGCTCTTCCAGTAAATATAGAAATGTATATTTAAACACTTGTTTGGGGAAGAGCAAAGAGTTTCATGTGGCAGCAGCATAGAGCCCACAGAGTAAGGGGTGAGGAGTTGGGGAGATAAGGAAAAAGATCAGGGTGAGAAGAGGGATGGGGGCCCCTCCTGTCAAAAATAAACCTTTTCCAATAAACCTTTTCCATTCCAGTCTCTCAGCCTTAATACGTATTCCATCTGCTCGGGACACTCAGTGCCCACTCTGGCAAACTCCTACTCATTCTTAAAGAGTTAACGCAGTCTCTGCCTGTTGTCTCTGACCAACACAGATGGGACACATTGCCTCTGTCTCATGCTCTCAGATCACCGTGTGTATCTCTCAGTCATCATCCTCTGATGTCGGATTGCAATCACTTTTCTGTTAAGCTCCTCTTGTGAGAGTATTAAGGATATTTTCACCTTCAGCATCTACCTGTTTGTTCAATGGAAGAAAGAAGAGCATGGAGAGAAGTCTCTATTGCTTGTAGAAGCTCCTGATCTTTTTGCCAGCTGGACATCACCTCCTCCTCCTTTATTTGGATAACACCCTAGGTTTGGGACTCAGATGGTTCTGGCTGAGTCTTGTGACCCTATGTGAACCTGCGGAGCCTTCCCAGGTGGATCAATGATTCTAGAGAACAGCTCCATGGTGAATGGGTCTACCTAATCATCAACAATAGAGCTCTGAGTTTAGGTAGCTAGGAGTCTCCTAAGAGCTTACCAGAACTGCATATCCTAGCCCTGGGCTTTTAATGCTTTGGAAATCCTCTTTCATTAGAATCCAAGCCATTACCCTGGACAAGATTCAGTTATACACTTCAAATCTCAAAGACTAGTCCTGGCTTCTGTCTTCCAGCCATGGGTCGATACTCTGGTCCTGGGGGTCCTGGTGGAGGCCTGGCAGATATGCCCCAATGCTATGTAAGGGCCTCAGAAGAAGCACCGCACAGCTGACTGTAAGCCAAAGCCCAATCCAGAATTCTACAACTCCTTTCCACCGGAATCAGGACATTTCCTTGGACACTGGTCATTTGTGTCACTTCAGAAACGCAATGCTGCGTTTTGGTTCATATGACCAGGACAAGTACTATCTGAAATTTTGGTTACTGAAGGGTACTGTAAGATGCCTAATAATTTGAGAGGAATCCCCACATCTCCCCATCCCAAGTTCAATTTCTTTATCAGTAGACAAGTAGTCCAGTAAGAAATTATACTGGGAGAGGAGGCAAAGCGTTGGTGAAATGAGGATTTAAACTAGAATTGAGAGACTATTATTGGCTCTCTGCTTAAGGAGCAGAGGTTTGTAGTAAATTTTTCTTGGTTTACTACTCTATTCTCAAGGATTGGCCCTATTTCACAGCTTCAAATAAATTTGCATTCTTTTATTTATTAAACAGGATCACCCAATGATAATTTACTTTCCTTTGTCTTAAAACATTTCATCTTCACTATTCTTCTGACTGATGTAAAATTTATATAATTTTGGCATTTGTCTGATTCGTTGATGCTAGATATAAGGGAAGATTCAAGAAATATCCAGGAGTGTTGAAAAGTTTAGATCCGTTGGGAAAACTTTCTTGTTAATGGGCAGGTGGTGTAGTTTCTCAAGAAAAAAATAAAATGAGGCCCCTAAGATAAAACTGGAGTTGAAGAAATACTGAGAGGATCGTTTCTCTCATTCAAATTCTAATAATAAATGCCCTGTTACTGTCGAGGTTTGTTGTTTCATATTTAGACATGATCTTTTTTTACATAGTTATGTAAGCTTTGACCAAAATATACCCCCTTAGGAACGTACTTGAGATGTATATAGGCTTTCTCATCAAGCATCAAGGGTAAACATAATCTCCTAAGATTTTGAGAACCAAACCAGTTTGGTGTTCTCTGGGTTACCATGGGATCCCAAGGGGCATCAGCTGTAAAGGGGCAGAAGAATATTAGCTTATCTAGATCTGTTTCTTGGAATCCTCCTGAGCCTCCTTAACCCACACATGCATGCTCTGTCCTACTTCAAAATCAAATCACTCCGTGGAAAAGGAAAGAGCCCCAATGCGGGTGCTGCTTACACCTCTTTACCCCAAATCCCCAGGAGCAAGAGACTTGCTTGCCTGGTGCCACAGTCCTCTCCTCTGCCTCACCATCACTCCTTGGCTATAGCTGGACTTCCTAACCCTGAACTCTAAGTACCTCATCCATGGAGCTTCTGGAGACTACCCATTGGCACCTCAATCAGACTCCCATCCTTTTCCCAAAGGGATCGATATGCTGGGCCTTGGACTCAGTTTGAACTTCCAGTAAAACATGCATGCCTCGCCTGCATTTTGCCCTGTCAACCGATTTTCTGGTTTGAAATCTGCCCAGTAGCTACTCCTAGAGTAATGGACCCCGGGTGGTGTAACCACATTCAGACCCTTAGCTTCCTCCCAACCCCGAGGACCTGAGTGGACTCCTACTCACAACCAGGAGAAGTAGGATATTGGTTGGGTAAATGGCAGAGAGTGGATCCAATTCCAGCATCTCTCCACCCTACAATGTATAAAATATCTCATTTTTCAGGCCGACCTGTTTAAGAGTTAATGATCTTAAAATCCCAGCTATGGAATCCTGATGTTCTCTTCAGGCAGTAATGGCTTTCCCATGACCAAAACTGCAAGGCAGAAATAAAAACTCCTTCATAGCCCAAATATAAGTAATGCTGGGAACCGTTCCATTGGACTCTGTTGCAGTTTTTTTAAAGTTATTTATTTTTTATTTTTTTATTTTTTAAGAATTGCTTGTAACACAAAATTGCTGGGCAAACTACAGTCTTAGAGAGTTGAAATGCCCATGTTTTAGAAATCAGTAGATGTGGAAAATCCCTGATATCTGACTCAATTAATTAAGTCCTAACTCAAATGCAATTGCATCCCTGAAGATTTCCATGGGCCAGCCGGGTTT